CCACACCAGATCATGAGTAGGAACGCCGTGTTCAAGTTCTCCTGTCATCGTTAGCCTGTTTAGATGATAACCTATCAAATATATCTTCGAACCTCCTCGCTTCTGACACCTGATTTCACTGGATGAATTGACTCAATCATAGAAGGTGTTGCTGATTAAAGTATTGTCAAACTGCAAATACCTGTAGCATTATCAGCATATTTCCCTCTAGACCCCTTCAAACATCTGAAGGACTTTAAGGATCGAATATGTATATTACGTTCGAATGAATAAAAAATAATAAATAGCGAATGGTAAGTTGGAATATAAGTCGTTGAACTGCTCTTAGATATTAGGCAACTCCAAACTAACAGCAAAGCACCACCGAACCCACAAAATATGGAAGTGGCACATACAGATCTTTCTACGGATGTTACGCCACCAACAATAGAAGAAATTATCTAGGCCATCGAAATAAATCAAGGTTGGCTATGGATTAGGACTACATAGGTGTCAAAGCGGTCAAGGCTTTCAACCGTTTGTCGTTCATTCGAATAAAATATTCAGTAGACACCCAATTCCGAGATCGACAACCTTGATTTTGTAAGGACTGATCATGTGCTGACCGATTCGCGACCTTACGGATCATGTTTAAGCAGTCTATTAAATAGAACTCATCACTGTACATCAAACTTTTTGATTTGAGGAGAAATTAGACAGAGTGGAATGGCAAAACTTTGTGGAATCTTCCTCGACGTTATGGTGTACCTAAAGTCTTTACTAATGTAAGGAGTCCTTGAGACTTCACTCAAAAGTAACCCACAAGGGCGACTCGCGGATGCATTTCAGGTAAAAACCGGTGTCAGACCGGACTGCCTACTCTCAGTCCATCTCTTTCTTCTGGTGGTTGAATAGATTTCAGAAATCATCAAGTCTCAGAGGAAGCATGGAATACAATGCATGACTTCGATCAAGCCAGATGATTTGGAGTCTGGATATTACTTGACCGTTTCACATCATATACAGAAACAAATGCAGTCGAGGACAGCCAATGTAGCTGCAGCCTCTGTGTCAGTAGGCCTTAATATACGCAAGGGAAGAAGCAGGGTACCAAATCCAACGCAGCCAGAGCCCATCAGAACCTTTTGAAGAGATAGAAAGTTTTACATAAGTGGGGAGCGTCACTAGTAAACAAGGAGGATCTGATGGAGGTGTGGGGACAAAAACTGTGTGGCAAGGGAAAGATCTTTACAGCTGAATGACATAAAAAACCCAAAGCAACCGCCAGATAACATCAAAGTCAGAATTTTCAATACAAACGTCAAGATTTTCCCATTTTCCCTAGCTCAAACTTGAAAAACTACTACAATCATCATCAAATGATTACAGGCATTTATAAACAGTTGTTTACGCAATATGACGTAGATTACCAACGTAGATGATCTGTGCCGAATCATTGGGGAGCTACTCGGGCTAGACGGGAATGGTGTGATCAACCAACCAATGTAAAAGTCATACCTCACGATTTAGTGCCTAACGTGGATTACCCTTTCGTCATATCCAAGTACTATCGCTACTTTAATGATTGTATAACACAAACGACGTTATTAGTGATGTGGTGTACGCGTTTATATGTGTAACGTAGTGTAATTCCTGTCAACATAGGTTTGGGTCGAAGGAAACAGGAAGGGAAACAGAGCCATTGGAATAACAAAAGAGCCTGAAGACTCGTGAGGTTTATAAAGAACGACCGAAGATCTGCAAATCATGTGTATTTGACATATGATTCTCACATTTTACAAAAGCACCGTGTAATGTTTCGTAAAACGATAAATAGGTTTTCCCAACCGAGTTTTCGTTTGCCATAATAAGGGTAGGAATAGGAAAAAAGCGTGGTCAGAATCGCATGGACCAGTCTATGCCGTGAAATTGAATAACGCACATTAATTGCCATTGACCTTGATGGGTATCGGTACATTGTGCGGTATTCGATGACTCGACTCCCGGGTGGTTTTGCTAGAATGCAGTGACAACTCACTGGCCTTAAAATATTCCAGACCTATTGGTTGTAGACTATCAGAAGTAATTGATTGTGGGAAAGAACAAACCAGCTTCCGGCTGAAGAGGAGATTAGAAAAAGATGCTGAGGATTAAAATTCTACACTCTTTTGGAAATCACCGAACTGCACCATAAATTAGTCCTAACATTGGATCTTCAAGAAAAAATAATAGAAACAAACTCAAGGACACCTTGTAGCTTTAAGTAATTCCACAAAATCATTATTATTTTTTTTGAGCGTATTTATATTTTTTTATATAAAAAAACAAAAAAATTACTTTTCTTTCCGATCGCTATTACGCTGTTTGTAAGTGTATTAGTTTATTCATTTTTCTTACCCGCTCATCTTGTTTCCTTACGCAAGTACGAGTGTATTTTCGACATGCACTCACATGTTTTATTTTTGCTCTTTTCCAGGACAGCTGGAAAAGAACGACGAAGTTTCGCAAGGAACCGAAATTTTCATTGTACTTTATTGCTATGTTGTACATTTTGGCCCCTTAGCTTTAGGAAAGACGACCAGACGCTGCTAAACGAAGCAAGCTATCAGAAGAGTGTTTAACAACGACAAACTCGCTGGGTTTAAACTTCTGGCTGGTCACGTCTTAGGGGCATCACTACCCCACTAGGGGGGGGAGTGATCTGTAGCTGTAAATAATTCCCCAAAATCAATAGCTCATTAAGTGTTCGACATTGGATGCTGGCCACGTTGTTTAAGTGGACTTGATTAGCTGAAGGCTTTCGGTCATGCATCCGCACCAGATCACGTTTCAACTCGGCTTGGGACACTGCTCCTACGTTCATTAGCCAGCTTATAGTAAAGGTTCCTCGATATATTGGTAGCGTATCAAATATATCTTTCCTACCTCTTCTCGTCTGACTTCTGATTTCCTCTGGCCGGGAACGACCGACTACAGAAGATACTACTGGTTACTAGTTGTAAAACTAGAATATCCGTCGTATCCTCAATCTGAAGCTATAAATTGTAGGCCAACATCAAAAGAATAGACGACAATTTGGAAAACTGGAAAGGAGAGATTAGGACTGAGTTACTTAGAGATTCCTTGTCAGTGGTCTTTGATCTGCAGTGGCTTGGCACTGAGATAATTTCTTACGCTTCATATATCAGTCACCCTGATAAACGTTGTTAAATAAATCCCAATGGTTTGTGAATTCAGAAAGCAACATGAAGCGCCGACTACAGTTTATTACTGCGTAGCGCAGATAACAAGTTTGCTAACACACCAAGCGAATTGGAGTAGAATGGCTAATGTGTGCGAGCATGTGAGTACATAGATGGATTCAGAGTCAAGTTAAATCAGCCTAATTATTAAGATTCAAGCACATGCATGAATATGTGGGAAAGTGAAAGTTTTACCGAACGGTATTTGAGCGACTAACATGTAAGGTAGAGTGAGGAATATGTCCGTAGGTTGTCACTTGTGATCAAGCATACATGTTTATGCAGACATGATAGTAATATTATTGATAAAAAGAGGTAGACAGATTGTTATTGTTCTAACGACACTGTCTGCTGAATAAGTTAATAAAACGGTTCGACAAAATTAACCGTAAACAAACGTAATTGTGAGATGCTATAGCTCCACGAGGGGCAACAGTTGCTAGTAAATAAGAAAAAAAACCTAGACTGTTATAATTTCAAAGTGTTTTCAACAAACTTTCGGATATGCTAGACCAGTTTACGTGGATTACAGATACAGCGACTTCCCCATAACTGTTTTGCAGTATTCTGACGATAACTGTTATCACCTGAGATTTCACCGACTCAAGTTAAAACCGTTTGGAATCAGATGTATTAAGTAGCAACTCGTCTTCATCTGCCGGTCTGTAAATTATAAACCTTACAATTTGACAACCATACACGATGAATAACACTGAGTTACCTATTGTTCAGGCACACGATGACTTAGGCGTCATCGTCAGTCAAGACTTAAAGATTGCTGCAAACTGCCGTGCAATAGCCGCCAAAGGTTTTAGGACTTTATGGTCCATACGCAGGGCTTTTAGGCATCTTGACGCTAAAACGTTTCTGACTTTGTATACAGTGTTCGTACGCCCTAAACTTGAGTACTGTATACAAGCAGCTAGCCCCTGCCTAAAAAAGACAGTGAACTCTTGGAAAGGGTTCAGAGAACAGCAACTAGGCTGATTCCCGGAATAGCGAAGCTCCCGTATGGTACTAGACTGACCAAGCTAAACCTATTCCCGCTGTCATATAGCAGAATCAGAGGCGACTTGATTACAGTTTTCAAATTGCTTAATGACAAATTTGCACCTGATATGCCCTCATTTTTCTTGTCTTCCAAAACAGAAAATCTACGAGGACACTCCAAAAAAGTTCACAAGCCCCGAACGAATTACTTGTCAGCTGACTACCGACTTTCCCATCGAATAATCAACGAGTGGAATTAATTACCTCAGTACGTGGTTGAGGCTCCATCCGTCGACTCCTTCAAAAGAAAGTTGGATCAGCTGAGAGACCATCATTGCCAGGACTAACACAGGCCATCGAGCCTCCTGTCCTTTCCAAACTGAAACTGAAACTGATCTACTTCGAGAACCCAACCAATAGTATGTTAGATATTTTCTCTGTCAATTAAGGCTAATGGAACAGACTTCAGGAAGGTCTATGATGAAGCAAAACTAAGATCTGTTTGAAGCGTCTCATGATGAATTTTCTTCCAAGCGTTTTGTGTCTCATATTATAAATCAGAGTAGTTACCACTGATTCATAGAAATAAGGTCCTTCATATGTATAACTAACTGAAAAACTGTGCAAAATCACTGAATAGTTTATTCATTAATCTAGATTCCACTTACGTTTGCAATTTGTATGATTGTTATCCCTATGTTTGGTTGATTTTGGTCAAAGTTGGTGTTGAAAACTGAAAAGGGAATATTAGGCGGAGATCACAAATAGTGCGTTACTTTCTGGTCGAGGATGGTTGCCGCAGATGGACATGCAGTTCAAATTATAAATGTTGAAGAATGTATGAAGAAAACATCATTCACTCTAGATGAGGAGTCTTTGTCTTCAATTCTTTTAAGACCGGATGTGCGTGACAAAAAAGTTGTTGTGGTTTCAGTTGCTGGTGCGTTTCGTCAAGGAAAATCGTTTTTACTGGATTTTTTCCTACGTTATTTGTTGTCCAGTGACCGTACTAACTGGCTAGGAGATCCAGAAACACCTTTGAAGGGCTTTCCTTGGCGAGGTGGTTCGGAGAGAGACACTGTTGGAATATTGTTATGGAGCGAACCATTCTTTATGACTCTACCATCTGGAGAGGAAGTAGTCGTTCTGTTAATGGATACACAGGTTCGTGGATGTTCTTCTTATCCTTTTGCTTTCAAGGGTTCTTTTGATAGTACTAGTACTGTGCGTCAGTGTGCTACGGTTTTCGCTTTGAGTACAATGGTTAGTAGTACTCAAGTTTACAACATTCATGGTAATATTCAAGAAGATCACCTGCAGCATTTGCATTTATTCACTGAATATGGTCGACTTGCCTTAGAATCTGATATTTCCGGGACACCTTTCCAGGTAAGCGGTTTGACAAAAATTCATTCAGTATTTACAGCGCAGTGCAACACCCATTTTCTATCTGGTTGTAACTGAGTGTCTAGATATCACCTGGGTTGTAACCGACCCTGTATAGTTTCTTTGATAATCACACTCATGCCCAGTGCTTTTCATTTATGTGAAATGGATGATATAAACAGGTAATCGGTAGTATCATGATCATGAAGTGTAACTATGTCAGACATTCTCGCAATCAAATTGCAGCTAAAAGTGATCATTTGGTTGTTTTAAACAGCCATAAAAAAATAATAAAAGGGTCGTAATGATGAAACGCGAAAGTTTGCAAAACCACTGGTCGTTATATCTAGATAATGTAGCTCTCTGCTAATTAAGAATAAGTGTTTTACTGTCATCGCTTGCTTTCTTTCGCTGCGTTATATGTTTTATGCTCATGAGAGAAAGTTCCATGGTTTATTCTGTTCTCAATTTTAGTACCTACTGTTTCTTTGTCGACCAGCTGTCACCAGGTCTTCTTTCGATCTTGAGAGGTCCTTTCCTTCTAATTACTTTGCCACGCAACAATACATAAAGATCTGTACAAGGAGGCACCAATTATATATGTGCCACACAAATCCGGTGTGTGAATGCTGGGATATTTCCCGGATGTCCAAACCGAAGCAGGTGGTTTTCCTAGGGGCCACTCTCCGAGCTTTTGACCTAGAGGTGTAATCCACAAGGCAGTGGAGTGACGTAGGGAGACGCGGCCCCATGGTAGCCGGTAGTCAATATTAGGTTCATATGCCATGTGTTCATTCAGGATCCTGGGGACCATATACACCATTGGTTTGGAATCAGGGTTTTAACTCCCTTAGGTGGATCCTCTATATCCACCAACCCGGTTAGAGGGTTGAATATTCGCTTTTATCTTCTCACTTTCGTAAAGAACATCCCACCGCGAGAAGTCAGTGAGTCGAACTTCCCTGACAGTAGCTGTATACGCGTGGCCATATGAGAGAATTCCGAGAGTGAGAGCTGACCCTTCCAACCCTTGGCCGTACCAGGGTATCTAGTTGACCGGTTACTTCTGTTGTAAATCACTACTCGTTCCTAGGGTGTAAGAAAACTGAATTGGTTCTACTTCATCGTTTTTAGACAGTGATATCCTTATGTGTTATAAAGGTTTTGTTATCACATCATTCTGCTCCAGTGTCTATGTCTGTACTTTTTATGCCTAGCATCTTTTATTCCTTGTTCGTGATTGGAGTTTCCCGTACGAGTATGACTTCGGGAATAATGGTGGTAATCAACTGCTCGATAATCGCCTCAAGGTAATTCACAATATTTATTATTGCTACGAAAATCTTAGAAATTTCGTTTTGTTATTATGATGTATGAAGTCCCATATTCACTTGCCTTTTTGTTCAGTTTGGTTTGATTAAGAAAGTTTTACAAGGACACGTTAAGTATCACCAGTAAACCATATCCCATTCTTTTATATGTCAGTGGCTTTTACTTAATAAGTAGGCTGCTTTAATGTAATGTTAGACAATTATGGTACGATTGGATGCGCTGTTTGGCAGTAAGCAATATAATTCAAATAGTTACTTACGTGTTCTTAGTTTCACCTTACATGCTTACTAATTGTACTTCGATTAATATCAGAGAAATGCTTCAGAAACCTATCAAATATTTATATACCGATTTAGTTTAAGCCCAAGTAGCAAGGCTGAGTCAACCGTGGGGACATTTTAATGACACACAGTTTATACAGTAACCGTGTCACGGGGAGTCAGTAAATTTACTTCATCCTAGTTTGTGTTCTGAACTATCACTACACAAATTGTATCTCTATAGTAATCAGTTGTAACCGTATTCGCTCTGTTTCCGGTAACATGCTTTGAAGAGAATTTCTAAATATTTGTAATTTAAATTATTCCATTCAGAACATATTCATGTAGTTGCCAATAACATTATGAAAATCACAAGTTTACGGAGGCATAAGTGTTTACAACTAGTTAGTCGAAACCAATCTTGGTCCCATTGATTATAAAAAGTGCTAACTCCTATCAATCTGTTAAACTCCATAACTCTCAACAAACTCAATGTTTATGACTCCAAGCTTACGTGTTGTTTTTAAACTTAACAATATCAGATATTCTTCACTATTTATACCTTCAGACCGGTGATAGGATTAAAACTGAGTGTGAAATCTGTTATTTACGATACATACTAGTCTGAAAGCCTGTTTATTGCGTGGTATTTGATCCCTGGTTTCAACCGGAACCTATTCACAAATGAATGTATAATGGCCGTATTCCCTCATGTTGTTTCAACGAGTGAACATACCAATTTTGCTGAAATATAGAGCATATTGAGTTTTTTAAACGTTTTCATGCTGATAACGGCCCTCAACCAGTCGCGAAACGTTACTGAAATCAGTCCTTAGCCTAGTAAAGTTCTCGATTGGTTTGGTTTATACCTGATGTCCTAAAATAGAATTTTTTGTATTTTCGTACTCACGTACTCAGGTATTGAAGGATATTTATTATCTTTATCATATTTAAACTAAAAATACTGTTTCGATTAGATTTATTCCGTCCTGATGGTTTAGATTGCAAATAGAAACTACACAAAAACGTTTTTTCTACGAGAGTGGTCGCTCATTCTGTTAGTGACTTGAAACCTAAAAGATACATAGAATTATAGGTAGTTCATAAATTTCAACAAATTAGCATACAAATATGATGCGTCACAGGTGCTATTCGTGCAAGGTACAGGTCTTATTTTATGTCAGTCAGTCAGCTACAACGTAGGACCAGGCACATATATGCATCGGTCCAAGTTCCCATACCTCATTAGCACAACAAGATGAACACCGAATTCATAGTAGTTAATTTAATGGTAGTAATATATAAAAGAAAGATTGCATATAAGGATATAGTACAGGAAATAAGAAAGATATGAAACAATTTTAATCTAATAGTTTTAGAAAAGACAGAGTGTATACACCTATGCCATTGTGATTGATTCTGAGCCATATCACCTAGAGTCTCCAATCACTGGTTAAGATAGTCACGCGGACCCCAACCAGGTAGTCTTCATTTACCAACATGGCTCAGACTAGGACCTATTGTATGTTTCCATAACTGACAACCTGTCAATGTGCAACTACTTGTCTTGTAATTTGTGTTTGTTTTTTGACCATTGTGTTTTCTTCCAGATTGTTCAACAGCATCACACAGAGCACCAAGCTGTCCGCCGTCATATTCGCTCTTGTTTTTCCAAGTTGGATTGTTTCCTAATGCCTCATCCCGGTCTTAAAGTTTCAACAAATCCAAAATTTGATGGACGAGTAAAAGATATCGATCCTAGCTTCGTTGAAAATCTTATCGCTTTAGTCCCTCATTTGTTAGCTCCAGTTAATCTGGTTGTTAAAAAGATAAATGGTCAGGAAGTTACGTGTCGTGAACTTTTTACTTATTTCAAAGCATATATAAAAATTTACGAAAGTGATACTCTTCCAGAACCACGTTCTATGTTGGAAGCAACTGCCGAGGCAAACAACCTTAATGCGATATTAACATGTCAAGAGATGTATTCTGAGGCTATGAACAAGGTAAAGATGGTTTTATCCTAATCATCGGCGTAGTATAGTTGTGATTTGTCAGTTAGGTTATATATACGTGGCTGTAACTCAGGTCAGCTGTAAATGATTATTTTTTGTAAGATATTTCCTGTGTTATATTATTCATTATAACTGGATTTGAATTGTTCCATCATTTATAAGATCACCTAATGACTTGAGAAGGAACTTGTTTGAGTTCTGGATTTATGCATTGTAGTGAGTGGTTTTTGTCGTTTCGTAACGTATTCTTATGCAAATCAGTCAGTCAGTCACAACGTAGAACTTCGTACGTACGTACATAAGTTCGAGTTGCCATACCACATTAGCACAGAGATGCAGTTGTCCATTCAAATCCCATAGTGGTAGAAATAGTAAGAGTATAAGCAGTAATCGGAAAGATTAGGGTTTGAAGATGTTATTGAAGGAGTATAATCCAGTAAAATAAATTTGGAAAGAGAAAAAGGATAGGGACATGAGGAATTCAGAGGATTAGAATTAGGTAGAACACAAAGAGTGTATGCACCTTCGTCATGCAAACAACTATGAACCGATCTCACTCTTGACAGCCCTTTTCGATCGATTGTAGGAGAGATCAACAATAAGTTTCCTACATTTTAAATTAAATATACTGAGTCAAGAAAGCTAAACAATAAGCATTATACTCTCTTGCTTGATAGCAAATTTTACAGTATCGATGACTTCATTGCTTGCGGTTATTCAATTGCGTTAGATTACAGTAAAATAGCTGAGTTTAAGTATTTTATATTCTCAGAAAACAAATGTCTAATGATGTTGTAGAACATCAGAATACAAATACGTATTATCTACTTGAGATTCTATTCTGTATATTACAATTTATTGTTTTTTCTCTATCGTAGATTTGTGGACCTGATCGGCCGTACATCAATCCAACTGATTTAGATTCAGCTCATTTAAAAATATATAAGGCTGCTGTTCAGAAATTTAACACAATTCCTAAAATGGGCGGTGAAGCTTTCTCTGCAGGTTATTTGGAGCGCTTAAAAGAAACATTAAAACAACTGGGAGAAGATTATCGGATGTCAAACTCTAAGAAGGATATATTCCAGGTAGGCTTGTGTTTTCTTTCTGGTTGTCCTTTTTACTGTTGTTTCAGTGTACGCTTAGCTCATGGATTTTAAAGTTGACAATAAATATTGTGGTATATCTAACACGTGTGTTATCATACTAGTTCGATTAAAATTTCGTGAAATTGAAGCATTCAATTTCAGTGCATCTTTTCAAAAGGGAAAGAAAAGCTATAGACATTTATATCTGATTTTCAAAGTATTTTCAGTAGTCAGTTGACATGGATTTTAAATAAATAGGTTCAAATCTCGCCTCATATACTTCTATGTATGCAGCTGGTCAGTGTCCCAACCTCGTTTCAATCTTGAAGCTAAGGGCACAGATCTTTCCTTGGCCACTGGGTCACATTCAGTGTTTAAATTCGGAATTCCATTTTATCTTTCAGAAGTATTCTCGTGAATTTACTGTTAGATAAAATATCAAAAAATTGTAAATCAATGAAATCGTGATTGACTGACATCCAGTTTACTCGTTAATTGCTAATCTGATTTATTAAATAATCCACATATTTTTTGCCTGTCCTGATGTTATAATCTAATCCACCATATTCATGTAAATCACAGAATGGTGCATGGGTTCAAGTCGCCATAATTCCCGGTAGGATTAAAAAAAATTAGCCAATACATGAAAGTCGAAAACTAAGGAGTGAATTAAGTTATTAGTCGACAGTAGGTTTATTGGATTTTGTGATTAAAAATTATTGGTACTTGGTGGAGGAGCGACTACCTATTTTAACTGCTGTCTTGATTCTGTAGTTTGTCAGTCAAAAACGCATGACGTTTGACAAATATTCACCAGTCAAAGTTCCCACACTAGATAAACGAAAATGCATAATAACTGATTCAAAGTGATGGTAGCGTCTGTTGTTTTAATTGCGCTAGATTACCGTTTGTGACTTACCTACAAATTTGGAGAATAATATGCTGCGATGCAAGTTAATTAATTTAAATCTGAAACGCTGCATATTTATTAACATTGTAAATTCCTACCTTAGTTGCTACCTCGACGTGGTGGTGTGGATTCAGCATCATGATAACTCAACCTAGTCATATTGGCTGGGACACTCGTTCGATCACGGCGGCCTGCTTGAATCCCTGGGCTACCTGTTTCTGCCATCTAAATATTTCAACAAGTTATCTGGGTTTTTTAAAAATTGGTTTTAACCTATCATTATGTCTCTTGATCGCATAACCTATACAGGCGCGTTTATGAAAAGCTTACGTCCTTTCGCTGCAAAAATTACAAACAAGTACAGTAAGAGACATTGTGGTGTTTGGCAATATGCTTTAGAGAGAATAAACATTAATCAAATGTCGATTCCCGAGCTGCTTAACTCTAACTGTCGATCTCTAATTAACAAGGTGGACTATCTCCAATTTCTGCTAAGTCAAAACATGTATCGTAATTGTGGTGTCATCACAATTCAAGAATCTTGGTTGACTGACTTACAGGATGATTGCCTAGTATCATTACGTGATCTTAATATCTATCGTCAGGATCGATCAAACAATAAAAAGACCTGTGGTGGCGCAGTAGCTACTGTTTTTTTTGTTTTGTGTTTTTTTTGGTAAAAAAACTTGTTGAAATAACTCGTGCTGAGAATTCTATATTGTACCAGATTATAATATTGAATAAAGCCATTAATTATTATTATTATTATTATTATTATTATTATTATTATTACTCCTTTGGGTACTACCGTCTCAGACAGGTAGAGTACCTGCTCTTAAGCTTATAGTTCGTAACTACTGTTCGTATGTCCATCACACTATTATCCACCTTTTTCTATCCCATTTTCAGACATTTCGTACTCCTGCTGTTTTGGCTGTTGTTCTACTAATTTTCCATATTGTTACAGGAATATCAGAATTTATTGGTTTATCAATGGTTTCGGGTATATTGGCCCTACCATTTTATATTGCTTTAGTGTCATTGTTCACGTGGTTGTTTTTAAGTTACACTGGTCGAGCCCCAGAATTAGCTAGTGCCATCGATCAGTCAGCTGAGTTGGTAATAAAGAAGGTATGTTGTTTCAATACTTTTGAAATACTTTATTTCGTATTTCAGTATAGTATCATGACTTGTGTAATTTTTTTCACTCGTCATATTCGTCTTGTCTTGTTTGGTTTCATATAACATAGTACACTTTTGCGAATGAGCATTAATATTTGGCTTGATGTTTAATAGTGAGCTTAGGTGTGTTCTGTCATTCGATACACTACTTTAAGAAACAATTGACTAACTAGCACCATATATTCTATAATGATAGATGAGCAAATTACCTCTGTAGGTTCAGATTTTCTATTACAATTGTTGAATTACAGGGATAGGTTTTGTGATTGATTGTCGATTAGTTTTTGCTAAAATACTTGGTTTACTGGTCACTACGGTGTACTCAGGACAGTAAATAAGTTCAACGGTTAAGCATTATAGTTATTTACCAACCGAATTGTCTAGTTACATAGTTTCTGAGTGTTATGATGATCTCTCTTATTTCAACCCAGCTACTTTTATTACTTAATATTCTTTGGATACTACTTCACTCGATAAGTCCCTAAATCAGAACACGATTGAACAAGAATGTAATTATACTCCAAATAAACAAGGTTGAATGGAAGTGGGAAGCACAACAAGATAAACCTAAGTATATTTATAATCTTTACATAAGAATATTCCAGAGTCGTCTCCATGTATTCGCTAACGCTGATTTGCTAAGAAATGGTCAATCAGTGTGTCCCAACACAATCCTTCAGGGGACACGTTTTAATCTAATCTATATCCTTCTAACACTTCCCCTTCGGACAGATTCATAGGATCTGGTGTTAGGGTGCACCTGAAACCACGTGACCGGTCTGTTTTTCCGATTGTTCACCTTCTAGACAATAAAGAAGCAATGTCACTGCTTGCACGGAGACCGGCCTGTCCATTCCAGTGGTTTTGATTTCAAAGGTGTCCATCGGAACATCAAGGGGTACCCTATGTTAGATCTTGTTGCTAGCGGTGGAAGTTGCTTTTAGTTGGTTAGCATGACACACCAATACTTCTGAGCCAACTGATACCTCGTAAACCACACTAGCATCAGTCAGTCAGCTGTAACGTAGGGCCACGCACATATATGCATCGATCTAAGTTGCCACACTTTATTAGCACAACAGGATGAACATCGAACTCACAAAAGTAGTTACTTCACTGGTAGTAATATACAAAAGAAAGATTGTGTATTAGGATATAATACAGGAAGAAAGAATTAGATCGTAGAAATAAAGATATAAAGCAATTTTAATCCTACGGTTTAAGTGAAGACAGAGTGTACACACCTACGACTTTGTGATCGATTCTGAGCCATGTCACCATTGGTTACGATGGTCATGCAGAGCCCAACCAAGTAGTCTGCATCTACCGACAGGACTCAAACCAGAAGTTAGTGACTTCGAGGACTGATGTCATGTTTTGATTTGGCCGTCCCTAACTTTCTTCCAATCCCTCAACCGTCTCCAACACTAGTCAGCATTGCGCACCGTGGTAATCAGTAGTTGGGCATGCATAATACGTGTCCCAACCATCTCAGTCGATGAAAAATTCACAACTTCATCAACTGATTCACCATCATTCCCTAATACCCTGTGTCTAACCTCACTATTACTTACCCGGTGATCCCAGCAGATGCGAGCAATATTTCTAAGACATCTGTGGTCAAATACCAGTAACGTACAAGTACCTTCTACTCTTAATGGCCATGTTTCACAGCCGTAAAGTAGAACAGAGCGAACTGCTGAGCAGTATACTCGTCCCTTAATTGATAGACGGATATCTCGTCTTCGCCATAGGTGACGTAAGTTGGCAAAAGCCAAACGAGCTTTTTGAATCCGTACAGAGATTTCTTCAGATACCAACCCATTAGGGCTGATCAAACTTCCAAGATAAGTGAAGTTGTCGACGCGTTCGACTAATTCACTCCCTATCCTTAGTTCGGGTGTTGACCAGACCAGTTCTGGAGTAACAATTTACATTTGGATGGGGAGAAACGCATCCCAAACATCCTTGCATTGTTACTCAATTCTAACAGAAGACTGCATTTTGTCAGCGTCTTCACCAAACAGGACTATATCATCTGCGTATTCTAAGTCGATTAGTGAATCTCTTGGAAGGAGGTCAATTCCTGAAAATTCAGACGATTAGAGTGTTATTTCCAGCAATAGGTCTATGCTGAAGTTCAACAAAAACGGAGATAATGGACAGTCTTAACGGACACCACTTGAGGTTGCAAAATCATATGACAGTTCGCCATAAGCTCTCACTCGACCAGTGGTGTTCGAGTAAAGAGTTTTCACAAAGTTTATGTACTTCTGAGGTACACCTTTTCAATGACAGACACTGTCACAGAACCTCTCGGTCTACAGAGTCAAATGCTGCTTTTAAGTCAAGAAAAACTATCATTGTCTGGCGTCGATAAGCGTGTTTGTGTTCTAAAACCTGACGAATGGTAAATATGTGGTCGATACAGCCACGACCGGGTCTGAAGCCAGCCTGATTTTCTCGTGTTTGGAGTTCACGAGTCTTAGTTAGGCGCCCGATAATTATTGAGGCTAGTACTTTAGGTGCCATATTAGTCAAACTAATTACTTCTTGGTTATCACAGGATGATTTTGACCCTTTGTTATATATTGGGACAATCAGAGATTGTGACCAGTCAGATGGGATTACGTCCAACTCCCAAATTTTAGCTAAAATATTGGTCAACCTAATCGCTAAAATTGGACAACCATCCTTAAAGACCTCTGAAGATAATCTATCTGGACCAGCTACTTTTCCTCGTTTCAGATTAGCCATAGGTTTTTGGACTTCAATTAGAGTTCGAGAACCTATCTCAATGTTCCATTCAGGCCATTATAGATGATGTCTCTCTTATGCTTAAAATTAGTGTTTGCTAAAAAAATTATTGTCTAAGCACAGTTGTAGAAGAGATCACCATTATCTGTTCCCTGAGCCGAAATACCCGCCTAAATGTCTTTCTGCTTGGTTTAAGCTACCTAACTGGGCATTAAAGTCACCGCCCCCAAATGCCCTGGTACGGCCGAGAGTGGGGAGAGTCCGCTCTCCCTCTCGAAATGCTCTCACATGGCCACGCGAATATATAGCCTCTGCCAGGGAAGTCCTACTCACTGCCTTCTCGCGGCGGGGGTGTTGCTTACGAAAGTGAGAGGACGAAAAGCTTTAACCGGCGCTTTAACCGGGTTGGTGGATGTGAAGCATCCACCTAGGGGAGTTGGAAAACCCTCATTCCAAACCAATGGTGCACATGGGCTCCAGTATCCTAATGGAACGAATGGCGTACGAACCAACCGTTGGTCACTGGCTACCATGGGACTGCATCTCCTCACGATGCTCCACTGCCTTGTGGATCAGACCTTTAGGTCAAAGGCTCCGGGTGTGGCCCCCTAAGAAAACCACCTGCTTCGGTTTGGGCACCCGGGCAGTACCCGACCGTTGCTGCTACCTTGACGTGGTGGTCGGGCTTGCCTATCGTGATGATCCAATCGAGCTATGCTGGCTGGAACAATCGTTCCTCAAGGTCCTACCATGCCAGACAGGTCGGTTGAAGAACGGTGAGACTAAAAGCATCAATCCCGAGGTCTGAAGGTGAAGTCGTACTGCCGACTGTACAGAGGTGTGATGGCAGTAAGGTGTTCCCTCCAGACAACCAGCATGACAGCGATGCTGTCTTCCCACAAGGAGGGGTGGGGTTAGAAAAGGTCGACCCTAAAAATGCACATCTCGCCTTATCCCACTGATATCCGTCTCCGGCGGTAAGGACCTTTGAAGAACGGAGCTAACACGTCAAAAATCTCCCACAAAACGGCCGTGCGTGACCGGCCTCAAGCAGTTGTCCCTTGGGCATTGCGGTCACGCTCTTAGGTCGTTATGACCAACACTAATCCAACTTCTTTTTCAGGTCCCTCAAGAAATACCCTTCCACGGTGTGGGCAGCCGGGAAGTGATAAATGCCCTCATACCCGTAACTGCACACGAGACCAAGTTGGTCACATTCAAATTCTTCCTACACTTCTTAATAACTCTCTTATCTTCACGACTAATCCTTCTCACGTCCTTTTATCACTTCTCACCGCTAGGGCAAACGATTCGAGTACACGGAACGTTATTTTTGGTCTCCTGAAACCACGCTCTAAATTACATATAGTAACTTTTAATGTCCGAACATTGTGCCAAATAGGACAACAGACTTCCTTAGCTAGGACTTTGGAATCTTACACCATCGATGTGTGCTGCGTCTCCGAAACGCGCATACAAGATCCGAGTAGTGTCATTCATTTGACCGCACCTAATCGAAATAAAGATTCATCTTGATACACGCTTCGTGTATCTGGAAGCCCTGATGCTGCTTCCCGTGGCCTCGCTGGAGTAGGTATAGCATTAAGTCGTAGGGCAGAACTAGCTCTTTTAGACTGGATCCCAGTAGACAGTCGTCTATGTGCTGTCCGACTAAACGGATCAGTAAGGACTCGGAAAGATAGGTAAACTCGTCGTTGCCTCTTGGTCGTCTCTGCCTACTCTCCCACTGACTGCAGCTCAGACAATATAAAAGATGAGTTCTACAGGAAACTTTCTGACCTTCTCCGAGAAGCTAGGCGTTCTGATGTAGTAATAGTAGCAGGTGACTTTAATGCTCAAGTAGGTAAACTAAGTGAAAGGGAAAGACACCTGGGTGGATCTTATGGTGTCATATCGAAAAGAACAGATAATGGCGACCGTCTGTTGCAGCTGTGCTCAGATAACCGCCTATTTCGTGCAAATACTAACTTTAAGCATAAGGAAAAACATCTTTTGACATGGCGACCCCCGAATTCGTCCCAACGTTGGACCCAAATAGATCACATCGCTATCAGCCACCGATGGAGGGGTTCGATAGAAGACTGTCGCTCATTCTGGAGCACATGTTTAGATTCAGATCACGCTCTAGTGCGAGCACGTATCTGTCTGCGACCTACTGGACGTAGGAAAGA